GTGCATAGGGGACAAGGGGGTCTATCTTTGCACACATCTTGGTATCAGCATATTGAACTCTGCATAGGCACTGCTAATAAAGAACTGTGAGGTTTGGGCAGGTGTCACCAGCTTCATAGTTTCAGATCTATCCTTGGGAAAAACAAGAGATTGAACCAGATAATTGCAATTATTCTTATGTGCTTTAATTGATTGTATATCAGTAAGAACTGAGATATACTTCTTTTCTGAAAAATTGCAAAAGATGACTATCCAGAACCACTTAAAYTACACACTATTTCCTTATAACACAAAATTAATCTTTGAGTAATAAAGCATTTCCTTTAAAGAGAAAGCTCACATATTTATTTGCACCAATTTTATCTGCATACAGTTTTCCTATCATGAAACAAAACAGGTCACCATAGGTTGAGGAAGAGGAGAGAAGATTATAAGCATTATCACCATTTACAGTTAATGTACAATTTCCTATTTATAAGCTGCAGTGATTTAAAAATCAGGAATTTACAACTCTTCCATTACTCACAGAACTATTAATCCACTACTGAGTTTATGTCTGCCCCATGAAAAATTTTGATGACTTAGAAAATGAAGAAAATACCACGGATGCTTTGGGACGAGCTCTAATTGAAAGGGCTGGCTTCAATGCAGTTTATAGTTTGAAGAGGGCTTTGTTTCATGGCTCACTTAATTTCTTTTAGAGCTCAATTTTACTTCATTTCTCTCATGTTTTGCACTTTATTTCAAAGAGGGAAAAAAATCTATCAGAAAGTAGAAATGATGGACTTAAGACAGAGATGATATGTCCAGTAAAGGGGAAATCTCAGAAAAGTTGAAAGAAGTTTATCATTGCCCCCTTACCTCTGTCTTCTATTATCTCTACATGTTTCTATCATTCCTACCTATAGCTCAATTGTTCAATCCCTCAAGATATTCTGAGTTCCATACCATTGTGAAAAGCAGTTTTAAAAATTCATCCACTCTGAGCTGCTAATGGTTTAAAATTCCTTAAAATAGCAAACCCATTGTCTATCAAAGACTGAAAGAAGTAAACCCCAATGACTCAGGTGTGTATATATCTTTACAGCTAAAAGGCTCCTTTTTCCATGTAATTTAATCATAATTTTACAGCATTCCTTCCAGATATATGTTAGATAGTATTCAAATCTCATGCAAAAGCTGAGTATTCAAACCTCATGCAAAAGCTAAGAGAAATGGTTCATAGGGTTTGAGTGGCTTATGCATAGTCACTGAGCTAATCAGTAGAACATATATTTAAATTCAAGTTTTTCTATGATAAAACAAACTTTCAAAAAATTTTTCTACTGTAGTCACCCATGCCCACTGTAAGAGACTTATTTCAACTTGACTCTCAATGTTTTTTTTTTTTTACTTTTTATTTTCTTTATAGTTCATTGATCACATGAGTTATCACCTTTATGATCAGAAAAAGTCCTAAATTAGAAGAAAAAACACAATAAGTAATCTTCAGACCATTCATTTAGCTTTCTGTAAGAAATAATAAAACACCAAGTATATCATCTACAGTATTATAGATTTCACAAACTATTACAGTGTAAGTGACATCTCATYCCACCTCCTAGTTTGATAAATTTGAATTGAGCCCAGAGAAACTAAGGGCCTTGAACAATGTCACATACATAACTAATAGTGGAAGGCAGAAAATGAATGTGCCACCACTAACTCATGTACATGGTTTTGTTTTAAATAAAGCATCATCACTTTTCCCTTTAAGTTTTCTAAGAGAATTTCAACACGTTGATTTAATTGCCTTTTCTTACTGGAATCCTTTCTGTTCAATGTAACATTGAAAAAATACTAATTTTATCTAATGCCGCAGTCTGGCTGGGCACAAATCACGAGCCACTGAAGCAGGAACAAACTTTATTTCTGAACTCCACCAGCACACTCCACACACGCTCCCTGGGGAACTCCCCCAAACGCCACGCCGCTACTCCAGGAACCAGCAACCGGAAATATCCCTCCTCCCCAACCAATGGGAACTCTCCGGGAATCCCCTTGAGAGCTCAAGCTGAACTCAATGGGAACTCCGCCAGAACTCAAAAGTCACCATGTTAATGGCTCGMTAGCGTCACCTCTCAACCACTACTTCTGGCAAAAATGCCATGCGTCATCCCGACTCGTCTGTGGCCCTCAACAATCTAAATTCTTTTTTTTTCTACCAATCAAGAATTTTGCCAGGACTTCCTGAGAATAGATTTCATATCAGGATGGTGCTCTGGKTGCTTAATTTCTCATTGTCTAGACAAATGGTATGCAAATGATAAAGGACCATAATTGTCTTTTAACACTTGCAGTTTTGTTATTAAACAGGATGAGAATGAAAGCCATTATCCAGGGAATGTCCATCCTGCCACAAAGATGGAAAGCCAGAGAGTGTGGGGGACATGGAGACACAACACCCACATCACCTTTTGAGGTAAGAGTTGCTGCCAGCTTGTGGGGAGTATAGTCAGCCCACAGCCTCCTGTCAGCATTTCAGAACTGTCCTCAGACCCTTGAAGGAAGAGCCACAGTTACCTAAAATCATGCCCTTTCCACTCAAATATTGATCCTGAGCCAGGAAGGTATGCATAGGGGCCTCACCCTGACAGGGACAATCCTGATGTATAAACTTACTCCAGAGCTGCCTGTTATGTTGATTGACACCTTGTCAAGTATGTGTCACAATTCAACTTTTTTCCCTGGCACAATTCTGCTTCCTCWGGCTTTCTTTTCTGGGTGGGTCTTGATAAATATTTTGCATCTCAACTCTGTTTTAGTATCTATGTCCTAGAATCCAAATTGCCACAAAGATCTGCTATGTAGAGACAGTTGACTACAACAGAGATGCAGAAAAAAGCAAAGACCACCTGTCAAAAAGAGAGAGCCATGATCACCTTGCATTTTCTGCTTTAATCTCCTGATCCTGAGTATAATTCTGCCTTTCCATTCTGTGAGCTAGCCTCACAAAATAAACCACTTTCATATTTTGAGTGCTAGTTTATTGCTTARTTTAATGCAAATCAGTTTCTGTTTAAGACAATCATATTTATAACTATATAAATGATATATGAACAAATATTGTTTTGTGGTACTGAAACAAAATACAAAGTTAAAGAATAAACATATTAATTTAAGCTTTTAATTATAGGGAAGTAACCACGAATACCAGTATTTTAATTATTATTTTTTTTCAAAGCCATTTTTTTTCTTCCTTTTCTCTTTTTGGTCTTCATTGTTTCTGTCTGGTATCCTCTTGATCTCTGCAGTTCATTGTTCCCATTCAACAGCCCCAAAATATTTCCTTTATGGCAGATCAACAAATGGAGTTTCTAAGAGCAGTATGGCTATCCAGCCTGGGAAATTGCAATGGATAAATAGCACAAGGATTTTAACAGATCCTGTGAGGCATGAATAGGACCTTATAGAAAAGGAGAYACAAGATCATCAGCAGAAAATTCACGTCCTGCTGCTTTCCTGTCCATAGGAAAAAAATCAGTCTGCATAGTAGGTAGTCTACTTCTATGCTTTGTGGCCTATAATCCTTCATGTTTATCCCCCTTCTTTCTATTTTGATGACATTTTTTCAACCTCCAAATCCTCAGTTTACTAGGTTGTAAATTCCACTGATTGAGATATATATTTATCCTTTTTTACTGCAGTATCCCCAGTGCTAATCAGGGGACATTTCAATGCGTATTTGCCTGAACAGATGGGTTTATTTATTAATAAGTGAATATTTAGACTTTTATTATTATAATATATTTTATGAAAATTGTTTTATTTAGTGTTTATATCAGAAGTTAGGTCTCAGATAAACTCAGAACCTGAAGAATTTGCCATAAGGCAAAAGAAGATCATGAACCCAAAGGGGTCTTCTGTCTCAATAGCCAGTGAGATTTCCATAGCAATGTGGCAGCCTTTTCACCAGTAAGTGCAGCAGCAACCTCTGGAGAAAGTTTCCCAATTCCATCAGCTGCCTCCAAGAGTGAGCAGATGAGTGATATACCAAAGCTTCCTGGGACACAAGTGGATACAAATCACAGGGCTCTGCTACAAAAATTTAGTTTTATTTCATTAACATACAAGTAAATGAAAAGCAAAAGAGGTCTTCTCAGCCCAGGTTTGCTTGTCAGAGTAAGAGTTCCACAGACACAATCACAGGGTCTGAATTACATTTTCAAATGCTCYAAGAGAATTGTCACTTTTCTGGAAACCGGGTAGACTGACAGAGCATCAGGGCCCAGGGCAGTTGAATACAAGTAGTGAGGAGTGAATAATTAGTGATGATTCCAAGGAGACATCAAGCATCTTGGGAAGTGCAAAATAGCAATGAGTTCTTAAAAGGAAGCTTCAATTGTAACTAGAGTGCACGATTCACCAATTTATGGAAAGAGAGAAAAGACTCATTGACCTAATCAGTGCCTGCAGTTTCAATCTCAGTGCAGAGCTCTCTCTGGATTGAAAAGCATGTGCATTTTATACTTCTCTTTTGATCTGTCGAGGCCACCATGTGTCTATTTCCACTCCTACACTACTCCTCCCTGTCTCTCCAGCATGCTAGCTGGAAGATGCCACAGTGCTCCATCCGGCTCCCATGCTGTGCTCAATGCCTTCTTCCTTTTTYCCTCTAAAGATGATCCTACTTAGGAAAGATAGCAGAATACAACAGTCACTAGTATGGCAATACGTAAAMACATGGATGTGTAACCCATGTGATTCTGCAATCTGTATACGGGGTAAAAATGGGAGTTCCTAACCCACTTGAATCAAATGTACGAAATATGATATGTCAAGAGCTTTGTAATGTTTTGAACAACCAATAAAAAAAAGATGATCCTACTTCCTACCTGTGTCCCTAAATACTATAGCCTATACTTCTAAGAATTACACATATTATCTGAATGATGCATAGCTCAGAATCGAATGACTACTGCTTTTGTCTCATTGTCTGTTTTTCAAGAATATATGCCTAGATCCTTTGGTTCATAAGTGTGATGATTGGGTTTTCACGCTATGTGTAAGGTGTGCCTCCCTCTAAACCTTGTTATGGCAGTGGCACATTACCCTCTGATGTTAAAAAAAAAAGAAAGAAGAAGAAAAAAAGAAGAATGTTTGTCTACAGTGTAAGTTCCCTAAGGTCAGGTGCTGTGTCTTTTAATTCTTCCAAGTGAATCAACACATTACTGGGTCACCATGATGGGCTTAATATAAAGTGACAGATTCATGTGCTATCAAGYATCAGAGATGCATGAATAATTTGTTCCCTAGCCATTTAAAAGTATCTGTTCTCCACTCCTTTGAAAATAACTTTTGGATTTTCAATATGTTTTTGCAAATATAAACAGCTTTACTTTAAACAAACGAAGTACAAATATYATCAATAAAAATATGTTGTGATTTATACAAAATCCCCGACAGTGTGATCCAATCATATCTAAATCTTTTCATCATGCGTGGCACATTACTGACCATTTTGAACCATCCTGTCATATTTTGGTGGCAAACTTAAAGCATACACTCATATAAATGTACTTTTCAAAATAAATGTGTTGAATAATTTAACCTTCACTCTTTTTCCTTTCCTAAATTGTGCATTCAGATGGGCAAGGTTGAAAATGTTTAAATGGAACATTTTGTTCTATCTGAAGGTAGTGAATCACAGGGCAAATTTGAATGGAATGTAGCCAACTCTRTCTCCTGTTACCATGCCAGTGACGTCTGACCCAAGGCATGACGTAACGGGAGCTGTCCAGTTTAATAAAGGTGAGTTCTCTTCCATTACTGCAGGAGGGAGACTTCAATCAGCTCACAACCTGGAACTTACAACCTACCTACTGGTCAAAATCATGTTGTTGACAGCATCTCAGCCAGCCATGAAGTGTGCTATTGAAAGTGTGATTGCTTGGACCAGCTCCAGAATGAGAAAGCCAGCAGCAAGAGATAAACTATCAAGCAAAGACAGGGACATTTYCCAAGTAGTGATGACTTCTGATAGCATCTCTAAATTCGTCATTCCCTCTTTGGATGTGGCATATATGGATTTTCATCTACAATCAGTCAAACTCCCAGAAGACTAGTGTCTAGAGAGAAGGCTTTCTGTTGTGATAAACAGCATATCTCCATCAGCTCAATGCAAATCAGAATCCTCTATGAAAAAAAAAAAAAAGAGGAGTATGAAAAAAAGAGAAACTCTGTACAAAAAGTATTCTCTGTGCTTGACTGAGAGTCTTGGATACTGCAAGGATGTGCGMGGAACTATACATTACTTATACCCAGCATCCTGAACTGGGTTATCATTGCTGAACCTCCCCAAAGTTACAACCTCACACATATTTCTCACACTAGATGACAGCTCCTTTTTTTGAAGAATCACTTTTCTTTGAGTCTTCCACAGCTGACCACAGAACTCTAATGTCACAGAGCATAGGGATATTGGTCTCTGTATTTGCCTGACAAACTTGCTGAACAGATCAGTGGACCAAAGCAACTGTTTCCAAACTTCTTGTTTTGCATATCATGGGAACTRATGGGCCACATAAAACTTGCGTTTTCTACACAGTGCCCCATTGAATCGGAAGATTGTCATGTCAAGAAAGAGAAGAAGATATTTTAAAGACTGAAGATGAAGCACTTTCCCACAATTAAGCATATGTAAAAGCAAGTCAGACACAGAGAAAGCAATGTTTGGATAATACAGGTTTACCTGAAGGTTTCCCAATTTGTGCATCAGGAGGGATTCCCGGTGGAGAATCAGCTGCTGTTTCTCCTGCATTCAGGCCATTCACACTTTGAGCTCTGTAAAGACAGACCTTCCAAGCTGCTCTAACTGAAAGGGTAAATCATTAGTAAAATCTATAATTCTTGATGGTTTTAATACAGTTTAGTTCCATGTTGCATTCTAAAATTAAGATTAATAATTTTTAATATTAAGTGTACTTAATAGAATATCTCACTGGGAATACTGAAAGCTCTGGCTGTATTAAATGCAAAGTTACAAACAAAACTGTTTATAGAAGTGAGAGCATAATGGACATAATAATAATGCATATGCTAATGATGATTTAACACATTTGTAAATGTTTGGAAGATAATACAAGAAATCAGAGTAAATGAGCATTTCTATATTAAACATGCTTTATTAAATGATTTTTATAGATATAAAAATATGCAATTCTACTGTGATATAAAGTACATGAAACTCTGTAAATGTATATGCATTTGCACATGCTCGCGCGCACACACACACACACACACACACACACACACTCACACATCCAAGCAATAAATAGTCAGTTTAAGAAATGTCTCTTTAATAAAAATTGCCAAAATAAAAAAAAAAAAGAAAAGAAATGTCTCTTTTGTTCAGTAAGTAATTGAATGCTGTTTACTCTTATGGAAGTTCAGGCATCTAAGGCATAGGAAACAAGCACTGGTAATTGTTTTCATCATTTCATAAATCTTGGAGGTTTGTAGGGTCCTTTCATATAGACATGATATTTTGAATACTGTGCTTACTTTGGCTGCTGTAACGCCCATAGCAGATCATTACTAAAACCRAAATCATTTTCTTTCTCTTTTTATATTTTTTAAGGGTGTTGATTTTTCTACACTGATTGGTGATTGGAAAAAATACTGATGTGTCCAAATAACACAAGCTTTCCAAAAATCTCTGAGTCCAGCTCTGTGTGGATGCCATAGTTGGAAATGTAAAAGAGGGTCAGGGAATAATCAATGACCTAATGAATGCAAGGTCTCTTTCTAGTGATAAAACTCACACATAAGAAGACAGTAGAAATCAATATAGGAATGCACATCTTCAGCTTTGGGAAAAAAATAATACTCTCTTGACATGGCAAATTAATTACCTATAGTTCTTCCTCAAATCCAATATGCCAAAGTATGCAGCATAAGAATAAGAAAGTTGAAATGGATATATTCATCACCCATCTTCAGGAATGACCTGAGAATGAGGAAGCTAAAGTTTTAGATCATAACTATAGCAGAAATATGTGGAAAGCTAACTTTTTAACTCAAAAAGTATATACAAATTAACTAGTTCCAATTATAGGATATACTGATTTTAACTTTTCCTCCATTTCTCATTACTATTCACCTTTTCTCTCTCTCTCTCTCTCTCTCTCTCCTCTCTCTCTCTCTCTCTCTCTCTCTCTCTCTCTCTCTTTATTTTGTTTTTTGTGTGTTTTATGTTTTTATTTTGTTTTTATGGATATTGTCTCTTTGATGTAATGTCATGTATAATTTCCTTCTTGCCTAAAGATATCAAATGTAATTAATGATTTTCTCTGAATCTTTGTTCTAAACATGATTTCATAGGAATTTATAATCAGATATACTCTAACATCAAGTAGTAAGAAAAACTGACAATAAATATTTATCCAGAAAAACATACTCAATATGTCTAAATGACTCTAAAATCCTGAGAAGTTTAAGGAAGCACACTGAATATAAAGTGATCAAAAAAAAAAAAAAAAGCACAAGTATCTCTAGTCTGTGATGGAAGATTAAATGGCTTTAACTTCATGGAATGTACATTCCCACCTACATGAGAAAACTAAGTCACTTCAATGAGCTCACAGGAGTCATTTAACAAGCTCACAGGAGTCAAAGTCACGTGATTGTTATGTGGCAGAGTCTACATTTGAAGTCAGAACATCTCTTCATCTCTTTCTCAAATCAATACTGTTTCCATGTTGTTTCTAATCAATTGCCTTTGGATTTTAATGGAAGAAAAGAACCATCAATCCATTAACTCATTAACCAAAAGCCTATAAGAATAGGCTATATGGTACAAACACCTGTAATCCCTGAAGCTAGGGAGGCTGAGGCAGGAGGATCGAGAGTTCAAAGCCAGCCTTAGCAAAAGTGAAGTGCTAAGCAACTCAGTGAGACCCTGTCTCTAAATAAAATACAAATAGGGCTGCGGATGTGATTCAGTAGTAGAGTGCCCCTGAGTTCAATCCCCAGTATCCTAACCCCATAAAAAAGAATAGGCTATATGGTGATTAAGTAACTTCTGATGGAGTGCAGGAAATGCTAACCCMCCCGCTGGCCGCTTGGCATACTGAGTTCCATAAGATGAAGGAAATGGAGGACATTATAGCAGCAGAAAGATCTTTGACCTACTCCCACCCACTGTCTCCTAAAGAATGCCACAAAAACCAAAATGACCCTTCCCCTTTCCACTCTGAACCATGCTATAAAACCTGGGAAGGTCAAGATCAGATGGTTCCCCTAGTTTATTACTGTGGGATCATCCCATTTTGTTATTTGATCACACTTCAGCRTGACTGTCAGTAAAAATACAGTTTTTCCATGTCTTCATTTCTGAAAGTCTCCCTACCAGGTAAAATTTATACCTCGTAAATTTGTATGTGTTTCTCATGTTAAGATATGTCTTTGGTTATAGGGTTCTCAGCCATGAACCTAGTGATGGAGAATGAAGAATATCACTTATCCTTATACTTCCATGAAAATAAGGGTGGAGGAATTTTTTAGTCTAATGTATTGGTCAGGGAGAGTAGGATTGGGGCCACACTGTTCTGGGGGTCTCTGTACATCCAGTGAGTACCAGGAGAGTACCATCAATATTAGGAGGCAAGAAGGAAGTGAAGGTACAGAAGGCAGATGTGGAATGGTGAAACATGAAAACACAGGTTCAGTCGAATATAACTTTTTCTAAAGAGTAGACAAAATCTTCAGCTCTCCAGGATAAGAGGCCCTAGGATGCTGTTGCACCACACGTGGTCACCTTTAGCAGGCATTATGGTTACCCAATGGGCTATGCCATCAAGAGTTATTTAATCCAACATTAGTCTCTGTGTAGCTTTGAAGTCATTTTGTAGATGTGATTAAAATTTACAATCACTTGACTTTAAGGAAAGGAGAGTACCCTCAGGAATGTATATGGGCCTCATCCAAAAACTTGAAGGACTAAAGAGCAAAATCTGAGATTTCCTCTAGAATAAGCAATTCTGCCTAAAGATTGCTACAACTCCCGCCTGAGCCGTCAGCTTGCTGGTCTGCCCTAAAAACATTGAACTTGCAACTTGCCA